TCAAAACATTTATGTAGCAACTAAGGATTCTAGTTTTAACTTCGAATTGACACCAATCCTGATGTCTAAAAGCTGTATAGATAACCTCTGCTCCTCTCTCCTTTCCTCCAGACTCCCTGCAGCTCTCTCTCGCTGTCTCTGAAGAGGAGGTTCTCCCTGATCAGCAGCACTGTGAGCAGGAGTGGAGCCCCAGTCTGGGGCAGGAGAACACAGAGCTTCCACAGATTAAAGAGGAACAGGAGGAACTCAGGACCACTCAGGAGGAAGAGCAGCTTCAAGGGCTGGAGACTGATATCATAGAGTTCAAATTCACTCCTTCCTGTATGAAAAGTGAATGTGATCAGGAGGACCCACTTCAGCCCTTGACTCTTCCCCAAACCCAGACTGTGGAGAACAGAGAGAGGGACCCTAAACAAGTAGATCTCACACCTTTTGTTGCTGTGACCCACCTTAAGGGTCTCTACATTCCCTGTGACCCTCCAGATAATCAAAACAATGCCTCCAGCCAAAACTCAGCCGGAAGCAGTGACCCAGTGGCACTTGACAGCAGCCCACCATTGGATCCCAGTCTGTCATTGGATCTAAGCCCATCATTGGATCCAAACCCATCAATGGTGGAACACTGTTTCAAACCCAGCACCATGTCTAGAAAAACTCACCGCTGCCGTGACTGTGGTGAAATGTTTGCTCTGAAAACGGACCTGCAGAGGCATGTGACTCTCTTTGGCTGCTTCTGCCAAAAAAGCTACCACTCCACCTGTAAACAAAAGGCCCATGTCCGACTCCGTCACAGTGGGAAACCCTGCACCAGCCCTGTTTGTGACAAGACCTTCAAACTCAAAGGGGATCTGTCCAAGCACATGATGATTCGCACAGGAGAGAAACCATTTAGTTGTGGTGACTGTGGGAAGAGCTTCAATCAGAAGTGGACCCTAAGGAAGCATAAACTGACTCACGCAGGAGAGAAACCATTTATCTGTGGAGAATGTGGGAAAAGCTTTTTACAGAAGGGGGACCTAAGTAGGCATATACGGACTCACACAGGAGAAAAACTATTTATCTGTGGTGACTGTGGGAAAAGCTTCAATTTGAAAGGGAACCTTAGGAAGCATAAACTGACTCACACAGGAGAGAAACCATTTATTTGTGATGACTGTGGGAAAAGCTTCAGTCAGAAGGGGACCCTAAGGAAGCATAAACTGACTCACACAGGAGAGAAACCATTTAGCTGTGATGACTGTGGGAAAAGCTTCAGTCAGAAGGGGACCCTAAGGAAGCATAAACTGACTCACAGAAGATAAACCATTTAGCTGTGATGATTGCGGCAAAAGCTTCACTCAAAAGTCTAAATTACTGATCCATGTAAAAACATCCACAAAGGAGGAAAACAGGATGAAAACTCAAAAGAAAGAAAATTAGGACAAAGATCTATTTAGTCACAAGATGAGAATAAAAAGGCAGGATGTGGACAATACTCTGAGTACACGCTCATAGACTCACATCCAGTGGTTGGTGGAGGGCGATATGATGATACCTCTCCCAGGGACCTGCTCTCCATGCTTCAGGATGACAGTTTCTCTGGTCTCTGATCTGATCTGTTCTATTGATAACCTGCTGTTTCTCTCCACAGGTGCTCTCTGCTACTCTCTGGTCTACATGGAGGGCCTATCTACTTTACATCTGTCTGGAGGGAGAGATAGAGGTCACAGAATGAGGCTTTTTAGAGGAAAATACTGCCTTTTCAGGTCATGTCACAAGTGCCTTCTCCTCTGACAGTGGCACTGCTAATTAATTGATGACATTTCTCCTTTCTTCCCACTAGATGGCACTGTTGGAGATGTGATCCCCATCACACCATCTCTGTTGAATGTAAAACTTGTTAGTCATTTCAAATCATTCTTCACAGACATATGAGGGTATAATGTTAAATTAATCAACACTGTTACCCATTACTAAACACATTAAAACACACACACTGTTTTACAGCTAAATAGGACCATGCTTAACTGAACCAGACATGACTGAGACCATAATGGAGGATGCGAGTGTTCCAAGAAAAATTGTCATCCTTCAATTTATTCACGGAATTGAATGGGAAAGCTGTATGTTTGGTGTGTTCACAGCATGTTGCAGTGCTGAAAGAATATAACCTTCGTCGCCACTATGTGAGTCTTCATGCCGACAAATATGACAACTTTCAAGGACAGCGGAGATGAGAGAAGGTGAATGAACTGTTGGCGGGTCTGAAGAAACAGCAGTCTGTGTTTACTCACAGCCGAGACATCAGTGACGCTGCAGTGAAAGCTAGCTACCTCATTGCTAATGAAATCGCAGTGGCTTCAAAACCATTTAGTGAGGGTGAATTTGTAAAAACATGCATGATGAAGGCAGCGGAGATTGTGTGCCCTGAAAAGCACCAGGCTTTTGCAAATATCAGCCTGACAAGAAACACAGTTGCAGACAGGATTTCCGATCTTTCAGTGGATTTGGACAGCCAGTTGAAGCAAAAAGTAAAGTCATTTATTGCGTTTTCGGTTGCAATTGATGAAAGCAAGGACATTACAGATGTTGCACAACTGGCCATTTTCATCCGCGGAGTTGATGACACATTGACCGTCACGGAGGAGTTCGTGGAGTTGGTGCCGATGACAGATACAACGACAGTAGCTGATATTTTCACTGCACTTGTCGGCGCGCTGGACAGGGTGACAAAGTTCAGAGAGAAAGTGCAATCTGCAAATGGAGGACGTGATTTTTGGACGTTTCACTGTATTTTGCACCAGGAGGCTTTGTGTTGCAAGTCATTAAAGATGGATAACGTCATGAATAAAACAAAGCTGCACTCAAGGCTCACGCACAAGCACTTGAATCACATCCTGAAGTTGGCTGCCACTCAGGATGTGACGCCTGATATTGATGCGCTGGTGAAAGCTAAAAGATGCCAGGTATCAGGAGTCAAATAAACTATGCAACCCCACTTAAAGTGCTGCATGAGACACCCTGATATAGTTCTGTGATATACTTCTGTGAATCACTGAGGCATTGTGTGTTTGTGTGTTGTTTGTCCTCAGAATTTCAAATAACTTGAGGTGTTTTATGATTAATAGTGATGTTGTGCTTTTGGACACACTGTCCTCAGGCTCCAGCTTTATGTTTATATGTTTTTATGTTGATGTGCTATTGTTTTTAATTGATTTTATTTTATTTGTATATTTAACCTATTCTTGACTCTGTGGTTCTTGCACTTGTTTGGGGAACAGGATTTCATTATTTGTATCTACATTTCTGCCTGAGAAATGACACCCTGATATAGTTCTGTGATCTGTGAAACAGTTATGTGAATCACTGAGGCATTGTGTGTTTGTGTGTTCTTTTTCTTTAGAATTTTCAAATAAACTTAAGGTGTTTTATGATTAATAGTGATGTTGTGCTTGTACTATTTTGGACACACTGTCCTCAGGCTCCAGCTTTATGTTGATTGTTTTCTTTGTTTTAATACTATCTGAAGTTGTTGTTTTTAAGTTATATATACCATGATTTTACCGGTCCGGCCCACTTGAGAATAGATTTTCCTCCATGTGGCCCCTGAGCTAAAATGAGTTTGACACCCCTTTCATAGATGGTGTGTACCGTGGGGTCAAAGGTGACTGTAAATCAGGATTAGGTTCATAACATCTGAGTGGTATACTACAAAGCAAGCTACTCAGGGTTTTCTAAAGCTAACCATCTTCAGTTAGCTTTACATTCCAGCTCAGGCTTCATCCGTACGACGACGGTGGGTATTGCTCGTCCCCCTGCCGCTAACTCTAGCAGGCTTGTAACTGCACGTGCACGTCGCACATGGCTAGTCGAACACCGAACTCTTCATTGAGACAATGCTGAAACATCAATCCATGGGCGAGTCAGTGCCACATTTTCATTTGTGACGAAATCAAAATGAAAGAAAGGTGATCTACAAATTCAGCAGGCTATGGTGTGAAATAGGTTTTTAGAAGTGCTGTCTTTATCTGATTACTTATCGTTAAAGGCTGACTTTGGTCTGCTTATCGCTCCTTATTCTATCTGTGGAACAGCATGTTGCATTTGTGGCCATATACATATATTCAATAGAAGGGTTTTGTAACCTCTAACCCTGACAATTTGACTGTTAAACTCATGTGTACACTAGCAATGGCTGGCAGTCTTGACTTGAATGGGAACCACCATCTATGGATTATATGTCTCTGGTTGGTCGCGGCTGTCAGTTTGCCTTTTGCAAATGTCAAAATACAATAGTAGGAAAAACAAACCGTTTGGAAAGTCATTCCTTTTTTGTTTATTTTTGACCATTTTGAATTGAAAACAATCACAGTAATGTAACCCAGAAATGATTTGATATTGAGATGAAAAACGGCTCCATTAGACCTTTAAATGCTCTCCAAAGGAGGACATCTTGTCATTCTATACATGCAGGCTACTAGACTAATGAATACATAGATAAAACTAAACCCATGTTTGCTCCTCAGTGTCCCTCTGCCGAAGAGATGTCTGTATGACATCCTACTCTAGCAAAATGAGATTGGCTAAGGCTAGCTGGCCAATCAAGTGGATCTAACACACTAACACGGATCCTTTCAGTGGGCTACAACAACATGAGAAGTGAGAATGTGAATTGTATTTCTCATCTTTCTCTCATTCCTTTCCTGTGTGGGTGGGTACATGATTTCCCTAGGGACTACAGGGGGTCCTGGTTTACCATTAGTAAGTCTGAGCACCCGTAGGCACACCATGTTCAAGAGGAGTGTCACAATGTTAACGTAATTACACACATTGCCTGCTACAGAGCTATAGGACAAACCAAGGTGGCCTCATCTCAAGGTTGGAATACATTTACTCAAGAGAATTCTACGCAGAATTTACTAATATACCCCTTTATCAAAGCAAGAGCATGTCTAGTAAGACATTATTACTTTTCAAAATGTTTTATTTTGCTCCAAGTCAGCTTGTTCTTTCAACAGGCAAAGCCAGAGCAGTGTACAAGACCTGCTTTTAGCCCATGTCTCTCTTTCTTAATAACCCGCACGCACACAAAAGGCAATCATGAAAATGGGACTGTAGTTGGCTAGACCACACCCCCTGCCTGCCGCTACTGGCTCCAGCTCCTTACACCTCTCTCTGACAAAAAGAAACAGAGAGAAAGAGACAGCGGGCGTATGAGAGAGCCGATGAGCATGGCTCAAAACCAAACAGCTCTGTGTGTCACACTCGAATACATCGCATCCACAGCTAGGACCTAGGCGCGGATCGTCGCTTTCAAGACAAGCGCAACATCGGAGAGAGATATTACGCATGGTTCTGATAGAGAATGAATGCGCCGCTGTATCCAGCAATCCCAAAACGCCGGGTTGGTCTCATTTTGCCACCATTAGAGCATCACTTGAATTACCATAAGGGAGCGACGAGAACCGAGCACAGTAGAAACAACGTCTTTACAACTGAGGAATAAGAGATTTTGCTCAAATGATTGAATAATTTACTTTTGATCAAAATCCAAATATTTTCATTTATTTGGAGGTGTAATTCTAAGGACACATATATTAAAGCACTTTGATAGCCATCATTAGGTCTACTTGGATTTGATCATATTGACACTTTGTTAGTAATCATGATGGAAACTGCTTCAAAAGCGCGTCGGCTGTCCAATGTGTCCAACGTGTCCAATATGTCCACGTCCAGCGCTGGGACTGAGGTAGGACAGAGCGATGTTCAGATTTGGGGGGACAGACCTTTACCTGTCGACTACCTTGGTGACATCTCAATCCTGGATGAAGGGAGATGGTCTAACTCTGGCGTGAAGAAACATCACCACAAGCACAACCTGAAGCACCGCTACGAACTGCTGGAGACATTGGGGAAAGGGACATACGGCAAAGTGAAGAAAGCCATCGAGAGACAATCCGGCAAAGTGGTGAGTTTTAGCCAACGGCTAATCTCCAATGGAACTTGGTGTGTTACAACAAGTGAATAACACCATTATAATGTAGTTTGTGATTTAAGAACATCAACATACAACGAATGACAACTGAATATAGTGATATTTTGGTGTTTTATTGATAAATATTCATAAACACATGTTTATGGTGTGTCAATCAGAAATCCCAAGGTCACTATAGTCAGTGTCAACTCGCGCACCCTGATGATGCCACGTGGGATTTCAGCTTTCCAATTTAAAGTCAGTAATGAGCCGATTTAATGTTGTTTTATGGCCATAATTACACACTTGGTTTCAGGAGACAAAATCAGTTGTATTGCCTCAGAGGTCACACTGCTTATACAAGATGAGTCAAAGGTCAGTTTAAAAATACATTGGGGTCCATGTAGCTAAATTAAGTTTATATTTATAACATGTGTTTTCAGTGTTACCAGACCTCAGAAGAATGAGTCTCTTGTCTAATTCTGTTGACTTTAACTTATGAGTTTTGATGAGCTGAGATGCATGAATAAAAGTAAAAATGTTTTGTCCCACTGAACATGCACTGACAAATCCATTTAATGATCCACCTTGAACCACCTGTAGCCATGAGGTGAATTATAGTGATCATATTTCAGGTATTTTGTTGACTAGCACTAAAATAGGTCTAGTGGGTTACTCAGCCTCTGTACTGTGTGAAGAGACAGTGGGAGAGAGAGCGCGAGCGAGAACCACACACACTTAAAGAGAGAGCAGAGAAAGAGAGAGATGCTGAGGGTATTATTTGACCTCTGGTCACCCCCTGGCTGGGCAACTAGAACTATCCAAGTGTGAGGTATGCAGGAGGAAAGTAGCCAGTCTGGTGGGTGTGTTTCCTCGGACTGACTAACACCTAGCTGTGAAGGAAGCAGAGGCTCTTGGAGGGGTTACGTGTGGGGTGCAGACACACACACACAAACCCACATAGATGTATACACACACACACACACACAAGCCGAGAAGTTCTCACTTGGTCGCTGTATTGATGAGGTACCTAATGACTTCAAACTGTATGAACAGAATGAAGACGAGAGAGAGAGAGACAGAGAGAGAGAGAGGGGGGGAAAGGCTACATTCTCACTGGTTATCCTGAGTAGCCAAGAAGAGCAGACACCACATATATACCGTACCCTTCTGTGTGGGCTTTGTCAGGCATAGAAATGCCTCCCTGTCCATGTGTAAGAGGTCTGGAGACATGACTGGTTTAGGACACCCTGCTTACTAGACAGAGAGAGAGAGAGAGAATGAGCCAGTGAGTGTGAACACACAGACAATACAAACAGAAGTCTGGATGGAATAGTTTGGGGATTTTTAGGCCTTGGTGACTCATTGAGATTAGTTGCTATAAAACCACCAGCATAGCGTACAGTCTCCTGGCTGCTACCATGCAAGAGCATTCAGTCTCCTGGCTGCTACCATGCAAGAGCATTCAGTCTCCTGGCTGCTACCATACAAGAGCATTCAGTCTTCTGGCTGCTAACATACAAGAGCATTCAGTCTCCTGGCTGCTACCATGCAAGAGCATTCAGTCTCCTGGCTGCTACCATACAAGAGCATTCAGTCTTCTGGCTGCTACCATTCAAGAGCATTCCGTCTCCTGGCTGCTACCATGCAAGAGCATTCAGTCTCCTGGCTGCTACCATGCAAAAGCATTCCGTCTCCTGGCTGCTACCATGCAAAAGCATTCAGTCTCCTGGCTGCTGCCATACACGAGCATTCAGTCTCCTGGCTGCTACCATTCAAGAGCATTCAGTCTCCTGGCTGCTACCATGCAAGAGCATTCCGTCTCCTGGCTGCTACCATACAAGAGCATTCAGTCTCCTGGCTGCTACCATGCAAAAGCATTCAGTCTCCTGGCTGCTGCCATGCAAGAGCATTCAGTCTCCTGGCTGCTACCATACAAGAGCATTCAGTCTTCTGGCTGCTACCATTCAAGAGCATTCAGTCTCCTGGCTGCTACCATGCAAGAGCATTCAGTCTTCTGGCTGCTACCATACAAGAGCATTCAGTCTCCTGGCTGCTGCCATACAAGAGCATTCAGTCTTCTGGCTGCTAACATACAAGAGCATTCAGTCTCCTGGCTGCTACCATGCAAGAGCATTCAGTCTTCTGGCTGCTACCATACAAGAGCATTCAGTCTCCTGGCTGCTACCATGCAAAAGCTTTCCGTCTCCTGGCTGCTACCATGCAAGAGCAAGGTAGAGTGGGACTCTGAGTCAGTCAATCATGATACACATGGTTGAGTCGCCATTAGTGTGTACGTCTAATCTGTTGTGTCTGTCTGTCTGACTGACTGAACATTTGTGTACCCACCATGAACCTTTTTTCCCTATAGAGACATAAAGCACAGTCATATGGTGGAGGGTTGAGAGAGCCTTTAGATTGAATGTTATTTAATTATGCCACTTTCCCTGGCCTGGTCTGGTCTGGTCTGGTAATGTTGTTATCAAGGCAGTGAGAGGAGCAGGTTGACAGGGTCAGCCAAGCAGCAGGAAGGGAACACTTCTATGTTGACCTGTCAGGGGAGTGTGTGTAAGTGTGTGTGAGTGTGTGTGAGTGTGTGTAAGTGTGTGTGTGTGTGTGCGTGTGTTCTGCGGCAGCTTCTCTGAATAGATAGCTATTTCAGAGAAAGGTCTAAGGAGAGAGAGAGAGAGACAGCGAGAGAGGGAGGGGGGGGGGGGGGGGGGGGGGGGGGGGGGGGGGGGGGGGGTGGGGGGGGGGGGGGGGGGGGGGGGGGGGGGCTGTGTGTAGCTGCTGTGTTAGTCTGGTGTGTACATCACAATAAATCCCCCAGTAGGATCTCTCCTCTCATCATTCTCATCAACCCTGTGTTTACCATTACCTCTAATGACCATGCTGTGAATAGCAGCGCCTGCTATGGAGAGCCTCCTGTCCACTCCACTGTACTGACGCAGGGCATACCTTTTCCCTAAACAGCCTGCCTGTAAACCAACACACCTGGTTCCTACCACAGACAAAGCCCTGGTCTGTATGTGTGACAGTGATAGCGCTTCTTCTTCTCTTATACCCCGAGGCTAAAGAGCACACACGAACGAACACACACACACACGCTTGCACACACACACACACACACCCACACACACACACACTGCACCAAAACACACAGAAACACACACACCCACGCACACGCACACACACACAGTACACCCCACTGAGCCCAGTCAGCCAGCTGTTGTATGGCCCAAACGGTGGTTGTGACTAACGATCCATAACCCTGGGCTGGAGGGGTAAGGGTGTGTCCATCCTGTCTACCCAGATGTACAGTAGGCAGGGATCACCATTCACTATCACCACAATAGACTATTCATGAGTTTAGGGATGCGTCCCAAATGGCACCCTTTGGTCAAAAGTAGTGCACTATATAGGGAATAGGGTTCCATTTGGGACACACACTAGACTTTCACTGTAATGAAGGAAGGACTGAGAACCTATTCAATATAGTTCTGTTCTCTGTATTGCCTTTAATAACTTGCAATATGCAACTGTAACCACATTCTACGCTCCGTTTATAACCCATTTAACATTTTACGCTCCGTTTATAACCCATTTAAAACAAACACAACTTATATTTAAGTTGAACACAACCATATCACACGATTTGTAACCATAATACATGATTTGTAACCATAATACATGATTTACAACCATATCACACGATTTGTAACCATAATACATGATTTACCACCATAATACATGATTTACCACCATAATACATGATTTGTAGACATCCAAGGCACCATTGTTTTTCAACAGTGTTGAGTCTAGAGGCAAACACCTTAGTAGCTAGCTAGCCACACTTTGTTAGGAAAGTGGAAATCCAATTTAACACATACAGGGCATTAACAATACTAATATTATTACACATGATGTAATAGAGTCTTATCAGACGTGTTGCATAATGTCCTGATACAGCTGCTGCCAGCCTCCCACTATGTCTTTTTGGGACGGGGGGAATTTTTCACTTCCATACACTTGACTGTGTTCCAAATGGCACCCTATTCCCTATATAGTGTACTACGTTTGACTAGCTCTGGTGAAAAATAGTGCACTATATAGGGAATAGGGTGCCATTTGTGACACATAGTTTGTCAAAAGGGGCGATAAAAACTCTTCTCCCTAAAAAGGAGTGATGGATATGGTGCCATGAGTGACGCAGGGAATAAGGAAGTACATCTCACCGGAACTTCCTGTCCCTGTCGGCTGACTCATAACCCACACACAACCTGTCAATTGAGCCCACTGCTATGGTGAACCCCACAAATGACCTTAAAACAGTCACAGAGATAGGGTCTATGCTGGGGATATTTGCTGGGGATATTTCCTGTCCCATTTAGCAAGGCTAATGTCATTCCACGAGTGACGTGTGGAACCAGCAGGGTCTGTTTGAGACACTGTAGAGCAGTGGTTCTCAACTCCAGTCCTCCAGTACCCTCAACAGTACACATTATGTAGAGCAGTGGTTCTCAACTCCAGTCCTCCAGTACCCTCAACAGTACACATTATGTAGAGCAGTGGTTCTCAACTCCAGTCCTCCAGTACCCTCAACAGTACACATTATGTAGAGCAGTGGTTCTCAACTCCAGTCCTCCAGTACCCTCAACAGTACACATTATGTAGAGCAGTGGTTCTCAACTCCAGTCCTCCAGTATCCTCAACAGTACACATTATGTAGAGCAGTGGTTCTCAACTCCAGTCCTCCAGTACCCTCAACAGTACACATTATGTAGAGCAGTGGTTCTCAACTCCAGTCCTCCAGTATCCTCAACAGTACACATTATGTAGAGCAGTGGTTCTCAACTCCAGTCCTCCAGTACCCTCAACAGTACACATTATGTAGAGCAGTGGTTCTCATCTCCAGTCCTCCAGTACCCTCAACAGAACACATTATGTAGAGCAGTGGTTCTCAACTCCAGTCCTCCAGTACCCTCAACAGTACACATTATGTAGAGCAGTGGTTCTCAACTCCAGTCCTCCAGTACCCTCAACAGTACACATTATGTAGAGCAGTGGTTCTCAACTCCAGTCCTCCAGTATCCTCAACAGTACACATTATGTAGAGCAGTGGTTCTCAACTCCAGTCCTCCAGTACCCTCAACAGTACACATTATGTAGAGCAGTGGTTCTCAACTCCAGTCCTCCAGTACCCTCAACAGTACACATTATGTAGAGCAGTGGTTCTCAACTCCAGTCCTCCAGTACCCTCAACAGTACACATTATGTAGAGCAGTGGTTCTCAACTCCAGTCCTCCAGTATCCTCAACAGTACACATTATGTAGAGCAGTGGTTCTCAACTCCAGTCCTCCAGTACCCTCAACAGAACACATTATGTAGAGCAGTGGTTCTCAACTCCAGTCCTCCAGTACCTGTATTTATGTGGCTCTCAAGACATTGGGAGTCACACACACACACACACACAGCTGTGTAAAATGGAACATCTATTTGTATCTAGCCTCATATAGCATCTGTTGTCTCCAGTGGGCTGGCTGCGTGTCCTTCCATAAACCTAGTTTCTCTCTTCAAGGTTGTGGTACTACTTCACCATCCATCCTCTCCTCCTCCTCCTCCTCCTCCTCTGAGAGAGAGAGAGATATTCTTGAGGGTCTTGGCCCAGTTAGAGACACAGCCAGGTTATTTTCCACTACCAGAGGACGGGACACTGCTGATGAGCTTTATGTAAGACCTAGAAAAATCTAAGGTTTATGAGCACATAAGAGCTAAATAGTATTTATTTCCTCTCGCAGGGGACTGGACAAGTTTTACGACTCTTACAAGACCTGAAACTATAAAGAGTTTGCAAACATAAGAACAAAAGTGAATTGACCACACACAAGTGAGAATATACCACAGAGATAAACTATGATACAGTATTACTTTTGCGGTAAATTCATCTCTTCCTATAGCCGCTGTATCTGTGGAGCGTCATGAGTCTGGCAATCGAGAATAATACTATGTTGAAGACCTGAGACATGCACCATGCTGCTCCTCTGATCTCACTGACACAGGGGAGGATAAGCCATTGGGGGAGACCATTCTGCTAAACGCTGAGCTGTTGTATTGATCCAGTATTGATCATCTGTTAGTTTCTCGTGACAGATGATAACATTTAAACGTTAAGTCTGTTAATGTCATCAGGTCCTGTCAAAATACAAGGGTCACTCCAACACAACATGTCCACAGTGGACTCAGATAACTGTGTGTGTGAAGTCCTCTGCGGTCACGCTCTAATCAGTGATCACATTTCTGTTGTGTGATCTGTCGTCAGTGTGTGATGATGTGATGTTCTCTCTCTCTCTTCTGTCAGGTGGCCATTAAGTCCATCAGGAAGGAGAAGATCAAGGATGATCAGGACATGGTTCACATCCGCAGAGAGATCGAGATCATGTCCTCCCTCAAACACCCTCACATCATCTCCATCTATGAAGGTAGGTCTGAGAGAGAGATGGAGCGAGAGAGAGAAAGAGATGGAGAGAGAGACAGAGAGAGAGAGAGACGGAGCGAGAGAGAGAGAGAGACAGAGCGAGAGAGAGACGGAGCGAGAGAGACAGAGCAGTGAGTGTGTTCATTTGTTTGCCTTTGCTCATACTGCACTGTAAAGCGAGTCAGAAGGGAACATTGGAGAGATTCCACTGAAGATTCCTCATCCCTCTGTCTCCACTATCGCCAAGCGCAACATCTGTGGATGTTTACTATGATGTCGGCTGCTTACTTAGGAACAGGGAACACACACACGACTGAGAGACCAAGTGTTACCCAAAACAAAGCCAAATAACACCCTTAATAACTAAGGCCTCATTCCACTGACTTTGTACTCAAATAGCAGAAATATAATTTTATTTGTATATTAAGTACATCTGTCTGGATAATTTGAACATTGAGTATATTTGGATGTGAAGGCTGTCAGTGTATTGGTGCCTTGCTGGTGTGTGTCTATCATTGTGAAACCACATAGGTTCTTTGAGGGCAGGCAGCAGTACCATCTCTGTGTTCTGCACAGTATCTGTCATCAACTGTTCAACAGAGTCTTTAAAGGATGAATACTACATTTGTTTATTGTTTTGGTTTGGACCGAGCCCAGAAAGCCCTGGAAACCTATAGACACACACTTAATAAAGTTTATATGGCCTCGTCCCGGTGTCACCTGAATAAACGTCCCCCTGCGTTAGGTAAAGCAGAAGCATATGTATAGATGGTTCCTAGTGATGTACATCCACTCTGGGATTGAGCAGCAGTCAGCAGCATGTTGGAAGGAGGTTTTAAGTGCGTCACCATGCTTCTTAGATCATCACTTAGAACCTAATTTGGCCCAAGACTGAGAGAGGGGAGAGGGATGGAGAGAGAGAGAGAGACAGAGACAGAAACAGAGAGAGAGAGAGAGATGACACAAAGAGAAAAGAGAGAGAGAGAGAGAGAGAGAGAGAGAGAGATGTCAATAGATAGAGTTGGGAAAAGAAAGATAAGAAAAAAAGAGATCGAATAAAGAGATAGAGAAAGAGTTTATACTGTATCCAGTTCTGCAGGCCTATGTGACCCTTCACAGTGGCAGGGTTGGAGACATGATGTATCCAGTTCTACAGGCCTATGTAACCCTTCACAGTGGCAGGGTTGGAGACATGATGTATGCAGTTCTGCAGGCCTATGTGACCCTTCACAGTGGCAGGGTTGGAGACATGATGTATCCAGTTCTACAGGCCTATGTAACCCTTCACAGTGGCAGGGTTGGAGACATGATGTATGCAGTTCTGCAGGCCTATGTGACCCTTCACAGTGGCAGGGTTGGAGACATGATGTATGCAGTTCTGCAGGCCTATGTGACCCTTCACAGTGGCAGGGTTGGAGACATGATGTCTTTGGACCCCCAGTATTTTGGGGCCTGACTGGTCTCATTAATTAGTTTCTATGTTTAGACTAGAGGGGAGAGGGCCCTACTCTCAGAGCCCACTAGCCTGTATCTAATACGGATTAACTGAACTAGCTAGGTAATTACATTGGGGAGTGACTGGAGATGACTGTCATAGGTCGCAGCTAGCAGACAGACTGCCAGACAGGCAGAAACACACACAGATGGGCAGAATAGCCCCCTGCAGTTTGCTGGTTCAACAGTAACAGTAGCAGATCAAGTGTCCAGGAGTCAGAGAAAGTTCAGACTCAGTCCTGGCTAGCTACCCCACAAATAAAACTGTAGGGATCCTTCCTTAGATGTCAAAAAGTAGCCGAACAAAAACATGACTAATGACGAATAAGAGTTATCACCTGACCAATATAAATACCCTTTTTCACAGAAACGGTCTACAGAGGTCAGTCTGGATTTTCCAGGAGCTCTGGACAGGAGTCAGCTGGTGTTGTGTAGATCCATGTAGTGTAGAAGGAGAATAGCAAGGTTCTCTGACAGCCTACTATCGACTGACAGGCTACTGTGGCTTAGCTCCAGGTCAGAAGAGGAAGAGGAAGAGGAAGAGGGAGAGAGAGAGAGAGAGGAGAGAGAAGAGAGAGAGAGAGAGAGAGAGAGAGAGAGAGAGAGAGAGCGAGAGAGAGAGAGAGAGAGAGAGAGAGAGAGAGAGAGAAGAGAGAGAGAGAAGAGAGACGAGACGAGAAGAGACGAGAGCTCTAGATGAGCGAGCTCTCGCTCTCTCTTCTAGCCTCTCTCTCTCTCCTCTCTATTCTCCTCTCTCTCTCTATCTCTCTGTCTCTTCTCTCTCTCTCCTCGTCCCTTACCTCTCCTCTCTCCCTCGCTCTCTCCCTCCACCTCCCCGAAGAGACGATCCTCGAGAGCTAGCCGCCCGACCGACCGACCGACCGACCGACCGACCGACCGACCGTTGACAGGGTTAGTGGTGTGTGATACACTGAGCACTCTCTCTTTGAGTGAACTTACATAATACAGGAAGAATCAACACACACATTGGTTTTACTTTCCAAGTGGGGACCAAAACATCCTATTTTCCCAAAGCTTTTTTTACTACCCTTGTGAGGACTTTTGGAACCCGCACAC